GCCTACTAAATGCCGTAAAGGGGTAATTAACTATGGTGCGCGCTCGGCTGACTGCAATTTAGCGTGAACCCCCAGGGAGTTAGGTCGATCTAAATCTTAATCCCTGGATCGATCTAAATCTCTGTGAATGCACCCTAAGGGTCTGCTGATTTAATGTCGGGGCCATTTTGGTATATTTCTTTGGTGTACTATGCTGTTGTTGACACTTTATTCATATTTTGTCATTTTTCAATCATAAGAAAATACAAGGTATTTTTGTTGCGCATTCGGCGATACGTACGTTTGCGCATCCCTTTTTTCTAATTGTCTATGCTTAGTTATCCATAGATCATGTGATAGAGCCAAAATCAAGAGAGCATGAGCCTTTATTGGTCAATGAGTTGAGTACTCTTCTATATATTCTGTAAGCCGCCTGTTTTCCCCTAGTCGTCCAGAGAAGCGCCGGTGCTCTAGACAGAGCTTACCGCGGCTCCTAGCACTTTAGTATAGCCGGAAAACAGGGGTTAGGGTAATATTGTGTAAGTATTATAGTTTTCATAACAATTTCGAAATGTACAACTCAGATTAATATAATTATTTTAAGATATCTTTTATGCGTGTAATTGTAAATGTATTAATTCATCTTTATTTTAAGTGGTTTATTGTGCAATTTTTTATCTTCTTTTAGGCCACCACAAGTCAAACTACTAGTTATTACAAGTTACACTAAATCCCATCAGGGTACTTGGTTTCATACGTATCACTACGTTATATTGTACCATCATGTGCGTGTACCAATAAACCATTTTCAACCCTAGCGGCTATGCATTACAATTTTAAGTCATTAAGGGCGTGTTTATTACAGATTTTGTCTATAAGGGTATCTTTGGCGGTCATATTGGAATTTTCATGAATGTTCCTTTTGCCAAATTTGCTTACAATTTCATTTCCTATGCTATATTTCGTACTAGTAGGTTAAGGATAAGGGGTAGGATCAGGGTTTGGATTATGTTTGGGTGACGTGCATCCAACAGGGGCCTTTTCATATATATATATATATATATATATATATATATATATATATATATATATATATATATATATATATATATATATATATATATATATTCCAGTAGTAATAAAACCGCACTCAAAATTGTTTTAACAAAAACGGTTATAATATTTACTGGGAAACGAGGTTTCATTGGGCCTCACACGCTCAGCAATCTGTAGGTGAAGCAGTCAGCATTATTGTTAAGTAAACAAGTTAATTGCGGGACCCACCCTTTCCTCCCATCCCCCCTCCTCCCTCGGTGTCCAGGGTGGTAATAATCAATGAATGCAGTGCGAAGGTTAACGTTGACCTGTGGAAACAAGTCGAACACTTTTTTTTTGTTCAGTGCGTATGCGCACTGATAGCGGCCCTATTTAAACCAGTACACCCCCTTGTTCTGCAGCAGTGACGCATTTGAGGACAGGGGTGTATTCCGTGCTGTCTCTCTAGTCCTTAGCGCTGAATTACAACACAAGCTGTCAATATCGAAATTATAAGATGTGAAACCTCAGCTAATGACTTTGGTGACTACACGGAGACGACACATTTTATTCCTGCTGATCGGGAGCTTCTTTCTACCAGGAAATATCACGAATGTGAGGCATAAACCCACGTAAGCTTATCGATTTACAAGTGAGACTTTGGAGGGTCAGAGACAAATGTCCGTGATCCGGTGTGTTGTCAGGTTGAAAAGGTCGCAGTAACCTGCATGGGGAATCAAAGAAAACAAGGCTAACGACTGACAGACATCTCTTACATTGCTACTCGGTGGACAACTTATCACAATGCCTGGTTTATTTTTCGTGTCAGATATTCATGTATTTACTTTGGGATATCCATCTCCGCTAACAAGGAAGGTGAGTTTCACTCTGATCTATATACGTGTATTGATTTCATATCACGCAATCACGTTTATCGAAAATTTATCAAGAGTTACACAATGTCACTATCACTATTATAAGTTGTGTATATTGCTTACAAACTAAACGCACCATGTCTATTTAATTCAGAATAAGGTTTTGGCAATGTTAAGTTTCTTTTTTAAAAGTAGACCGTAGGTCATGTTAAGTGATCTGATTGTGAATACAATAGGTAAGCTATATGTAATAGGTAAGCTGTATATAACAGGCACCTCTTGAAATCGTATTATCGTTGATGATTTGTCTATGAGCGATGAAATGATCTCCTTTTTTATTTCATAAATTGTCATTGCGATCTACATATTCCAACAAGACTAAATGTTAAGTTGTTTAGAACAAAGGAGTACATGTACTGTGTAGCTATTAAGGCTGACACTACTGGGGCGAATTGTAACACAAATTAACCTTATGAATTTCAAATCAAGGATCTTTAGCTGTACTTAACGTATGACTGGAATAATTATGGTGGTTAATTATTTCTAATGGGCACCGTGACTACAGAATGAGTCCAACTATATAAACGGCATTGTTAGAGGGCTATTTGTCACTTTGTGGTCCATTCTGGCCTCCACGTGGTGGGTCGGGGGTAGATCTCAACATTGTAGAGGGCTATTTGTCACTTTGTGGTCCATTCTGCCCCCCACGTGGTGGGTCGGGGGTAGATCTCAACAATGTAGGGGGCTATTTGTCACTTTGTGGTCCATTCTGGCCTCCACGTGGTGGGACGGGGGTAGATCTCAACAATGTAGGGGGTGTTTGTCACTTTGTGGTCCATTCTGGTCTCCACGTGGTGGGACGGGGGTAGATCTCAACAATGTAGGGGGCTGTTTGTCNATACCAGAGGTGTTAAAAGTATACTCTGACCACAGGGGCCGCTAGTAGTCTGGTACAAGATTATAGTATCGTTTATCACCCAAACCCAATATAGAGGTGCAAATGAGGTCACAGGCATGCTTTTAAACAAATTAAGTGCACAGATTTAAAACTATGTTTGATTATTTTAGGGTCCCACACGAAGAAGTTTGTATCAAAGTTTCACTCTCCTGGGACCATGAATAATAAAAATAATTCATCGTTTAACCCCCCCCCCCACCCCCACCCCCAAAAAAGGGACGTATGATACCGTCACAAATGCAAAACGGCGAGCTGGGGGAAACTTTTCACTCACTTTGAAAATTCAATCATCACTGGTTTTGTTCTTTAATTTGTCTCCCACATGTATAACGTTGTAAAAAAATTATGATAATCTTATGTATAGAGCAGTTCATTTTTGAGCGACTCTAGTTTGCTTGTCACTGAATAATAAAAGGTTGTTATCACTGAAAACTATGTGCTGGACATGGCGGGTTATCGTCTGCTCAGTTACCAAGACAACACTTCCCACTTGGTATGAGTAGTGACAACAATGGAACCCCTCCCATCTTCGTGGTTTATGATGTTATATTTAAAATTTTGCAACATGAAGAGGTCAGCGATATTTCATTACACCATCGTGTCCTGATCTCCATATAGCCTATCAGTGGGGTACATTAGTGATATATCCATACTGCCACGATTAGATAACAAGCAGATGCAAAGGAAATGTCATGTCATTCCAGATTCTACTAGTCCAGACGACATTTGTCCTGCTAATGGCTATTAACCAAGTGTCAGCAGCTGACAGCAGTGACAGTTTGACCACCAGACGCCGTTACAATACTGTAGGTCACGCGACAGTGGGAACCAGCACCATCGCTTATCCAAAATGTCAAATACACAGAGAATATCTCAAGAGAATGAGGAACGGGAGTGTGGAATGCGTTAGTTGTGATCACCATTGTGTTCCGGGTTGGGGCATTGCTCTGTGGTGCCAGGGGTTCATGAACACAGTGTGTCAACAGTGTGTGGACGGCGTTACTTTCTCTTACCAAGGAGGAGCTAAGACTGAGAGAGTGTGCAGAAAATGCAACACGTGTCAAAATGGGAATGTGATCCGAAACTGCACAAAGTTTGAAGATGCAAAGTGCAGTAGAACCAACAAAAGTACGCAATAATTTAAAATTCAATACCGCATGCAAAAGCTGGGAATCAAAATTGATATCATGTTTATTTAAGATATTTAGATGAAGTGTTTTGGTTTAGTTTGGTATAAATTATTTCATACCTTAAAACTAGAAAAGCACTCAGAGAGCGAAGACCTCCGCCAAGGCAGCCAAGTCTGCATCCAATGCCGTTTCGCCCCTAAATTTTCATGCTATAATGATTTAGTTTTTTGATTATTGATTGATTATTGATCCGGATCACCACCAAAAACTAATCATCTGTTCCTTGGCCAACTTCTGACAGTTCCTGAAAATTTCATCAAAATTGGTCCATAACTTTTTTGACTTTTGATTATTGATTGATTATTGATCCAGATCACCACCAAAAACTAATCACTTCTAAGTTAACCCATTTCTGACCTACCCTGAATATTCCATCGAAAATTATAACTTTTTGAGTTATGTTGATGACAAACAGACAGACAAACAAGGGTGAAAACACAATCTCCTTGGCGTAGGTAATAAAACATGGCAACACGGCCGCATAATTTCTCTTAAAAACGAACATTTTAACTTTTAGATTTTAGCGAAAAGCAATTATTTTCATTAATTTATTCATTCATCCATTCATTCATTTATTCAATCATTCATTCCTTTATCTGTATATTTATTTAATTCATTTATTTGTTTAATTATTTCTTTATTGCTCCTTTCAGATATGACGGATGTAGATCACAGACATCACCACACTGTAATACTGTGGACCACGCTCTCCAGCACCTTGTTACTTGTCTTTGTTATCATGATAGTTTTAGTCGTATACGTTATGAAAAGGAATAAAATGTTTTCAAAACTGGTCACCAAGAATTTACACATATCGTTTAAAAGACTGAACAACATGGATTCGTCTCAACTATTACACCCGGATGGAAATGATTCTCAGAGTGAACAGCAAATTAACGCGTAGACAGCGCCACACGGCAGTGCGATTATCACATGGTTCACTTTGACTTCATTGATCCAGTGCGATTTTTTTCGTGTAGAAAGAAAGTGCCTGGTACGAGTAAACCCCTCACATTCCTGGGTTTCTTGCCCTTTTATCTAATTCGTTCCCGACACTACATGGGTGCTAGATGTTTGTGTCAATACTAAAGGTCCCAGTCTTATACATCTCTTTAATTGGCATCATTAAACACGATGGATATACCTCTAGAAGACGTAATATTTTACAATATTTATATATACTTAATAGATATTACACATGGCGAACTTAAGGGATGGCACTGAAGAGTTCGCTTTGGGCCTGCTAAACCCACCTCATATTTTCCACTGTGGAAATAGTTAATATCAAGCCATATATATATATATATATATATATATATATATATATATATATATATATATATATATATATATATATATATATATATATCCACTTGTATGCTGTGACACACTACCCTGTACGTAAACTTTCTTCGTATTTCTATTGAACAACAACGATAGCATTGTAACGACTTCTAGCCACCAATATTTTGTTGGACATAGGTAAACAACAACGATAGCATTGTAACAACTTCTAGCCACCAATATTTTGTGGGACATAGGTAAACAACAACGATAGCATTGTAACAACTTCTAGCCACCAATATTTTGTTGGACATGGGTAAATAACAACAGGTTCACTCCTCATTGCTGGGCCAGTTGAAATTTGAAACATTTATTGAATTGTATCGAGAAAGAGGCTGATCATAAAGTGTAGGCCACCGCAGATCTAGCTCCCCCAGTACTTAGCATTGAGCTAGAGGTGAGAGTAGCACGAGAAAGCGGCTATTTAGAAAGACAAACAAAATTATAAACAGATTTTAAAAAAATGATGTAAGTCACCATACGGATTCTTATTTTTCAATGGAGAGTGTGTCGGTGATATTGGCACTATCATTATTACGCAAGGTCAGAGAAAAGATGTCATATGAACTAACAAATGCGTTCAGAGTTCATAACACCTCTGAACCATTCTTCTCCTCTCTCTCTCTCTCTCTCTCTCTCTCTCTCTCTCTCTCTCTCTGTGTGTGTGTGTGTGCTTGGATTAGTATTTCTTTGCCCTTGTGCGTTATTAAAAGCTTTTAAAAAGATCAATAAAACTAGACATGATTTGATCGTTTAATTATTGTTTAAATATTGCCATTGACCTTTCTGTTTACCCACAACGTACATCCATTAATCAGCCTTTCTCTTGGAAACTGAGAGGAAATCAAAAGAAAAGATCAATGCTGCCTTGGACGGGCACACCAAGAGAGAGAACAATGAACATCCAATATGATGTACGATTAAACGGCACCAGTTTTCGATTCTTAAAGCCAATTCATTTCTGGCGTGTTGCCATAGGATCCACAGGTTATTAGCCAGAGAGCTGTCATTTAAACACCAAAATCGATAGCTAAAAACTTTCATGGATTTCTCAAGAAGCTTTTGAATCAATTGCTATCAAGGGGAGATCCGGAGCTGCAGAAAATCCAGTTACTTATGCTGCCTTTGTTGTTTACATATATCTCGAGTTATCAAGTTGATTTCTGGGAATATGAAAAGAATTATATTTACATGGTTTCGCGTGCGTGTGTGAGCGACTTTGTGTGCGTGCGTGTGTGAAAGACTTTTGGTGCATGCATGTGTGAACGATTTCGTGTGCTTTGCGTGTGTGTGTGTTTGAACGACTTTGTGTGCATGCGTGTGTGAACGACTTTGTGTGCGTGCGTGTTTGAACGACTTTGTGTGCGTGCGTGTTTGAACGACTTTGTGTGCATGCGTGTGTGAACGACTTTGTGTGCGTGCGTGTTTGAACGACTTTGTGTGCGTGCGTGTTTGAACGACTTTGTGTGCGTGCGTGTGTATGCATCTTTGTGTGCGTGCGTGTGTGAAGGACTTTGTGTGCGTGCGTTTGAACGACTTTGTGTGCGTGCATGTGTGAGCGACGTTGTGTGCGTGCGTGTGTCGACGACTTTGTGTGCGTGCGTGTTTGAACGACTTTGTGTGCGTGCGTGTGTGAAAGACTGTGCGTGCGTGTGTGAGAGACTGTGCGTGCGTGTGTTAAAGACTGTGTGCGTGTGTTAGAAACTGCGTGCGTTTGAACGACTTTGTGTGCGTGCGTGTGTGAAAGATTGCGTGCGTGTGTTAAAGACTTTGTGTGCATGCCGTTGGGAACGAATTTGTGTGCAGCTAGACTAAGTCCTTGTCAGATTATGTACAGCTAAACATTGAGTACAGCTAAACATTGAGTACAGCTAAATATTGAGTACAGCTAAACACTGAGTACAACTAAACATTGAGTACAGCTAAATATTGAGTACAGCTAAACATTGAGTACAGCTAAACACTGAGTACAGCTAAACATTGAGTACAGCTAAACATTGAGTACATGGACAGCATTCAGAACAGTGGACTAACAGATCTGCGGATCAATTAAGTATGGCGACCCACAACTAGAGACTGAAGAGAAGTTTGCAATTTCCCGATTAAGCATTGAATAGATTCCCCGCGGGGATTATACGCAACAAGCATTCAAGAAGGTCGGCCATATTTGATCTGCATTTCTGTTAGTCCGCTGTTCTAAATGCGCTCATTCACAACAAGTTGGTCCGCGGACAAACAGATACTCGGATCAAATATAACCAACCCACTTAAAGGCAACGCCACCTAATCCCGGCCCCTAATTGACTCCCTGCTTCCCACACGTGCCGTCTCTGTAGGGGCACAGCAATTAAATCTCGGTTCGAAGTAGAGCTGTGATAAAACATTTCAACTTCAACCGTCGATATTGAAAAGAAAACACGCAAGTAATGATTGTCAGTCTCCCTCCCAACTGTTTCCTAGAATGAAATATAGAATGGGTGATGTACATGCCAATCGATATTTCAACCGGAAATAAATGCATCCTTTATCAAGACCACAAATTGACAATCATCCATGCCAGTAATACAGACAACCAAAATCTCTGTAGCGCGCTCTCTTTGAAAGACGGGTCACTTACGATACAACATGGATTCTCACCCTCTTTAGCTATCCTTCACGTTGGGTGTTTTCTTTCATTTGAATTCTGAGTAGAACTTTACGTCAGACAGCTGAGTACACGGGTCATATTTCATAAGGAACTAACGAGAAATTGGTACAAACTGCGTGTAACAGCCGCGAAATAACGGCCTTTTCCTCCTGAATTGTCACAGTTGATTGAAGGCTTTTTCTATCGATTAACAAGACAAAGGGAAATTATGTCACTAATGTTGATGTATCCGTCCCTCGAAGGTAATATAAACATAGATTCCAAGAAACCTTATAAATGCGTATCGGCAATTTTTTTTTCAGAAGTCAGAAGAGACAGAGGTACGTGCCTGCACAATTATGGCTACTGGGCACACGAACAGCAAAAGTACATTGAGAAAAGACTATCTACAGTGGCTAAGCGTAAGTAACATGAATTATGGTTAAAATACCCGTATACTCTAAGATAACATGAGACAGCCCCTGGCTAGTCTTCAGTTTTCTCCAGAACATTGGCAAAGGGTTTTCACATCTGGCTCCAGGACAGTGGATGAGGAGGACTGGAATATGTTGGTTTATCTCTGGCTCCAGGACAGTGGGTGAGGAGGACTGGAATAGGTTGGTTTACATCTGGCTCCAGGACAGTGGGTGAGGAGGACTGGAATAGGTTGGTTTACATCTGGCTCCAGGACAGTGG